AGCGGGGCTTGGCGAGCACTGGGATAGTGTGGGCACCACGCACAGTGTATGGTGGGGGCTGCCCCGAGGGGGAGGGGGTGAGTGTTAGCCCAGGGGCAGGGTTGCCCCGGGCCGTGGCCCTCTGGTTTACCCCGTAGACACGTGATCTGGAATGTCCACACAGGGGGCCCTAGGTGGGGGGACTGTTGGGTGATCACGTGTCCGGAGAGAGCTCTTGAGAAGGATCGAGAGGGAATAAGAATGTTCAGGAATGCGGCCAGGGCCGAGGGTGGAGCGGTCCTGACTGGAGAGTTCAAGTTCAAGTTAATTTATTAGGTATAGCCCTGTGAGCCATTCGGCTCTTGAATCGGGTGCAACTGCAACAAACAAAAAAACTAAAACATGAACAAAAAAACATCTTAAAGTGAATATGTGACTGAGTGCAAACAGAAAATCCAAGAAAAGACAGCAAAACATTGCAGAAAAAACACCGTACACCAACGCTGTTTGCAAAAATCTCAGTGGGATGCAAGTCAAACAACCAACAACAACCACAAGACAACTTAGATTAAGGCCATCAGTCTAACTCTGTACTACAACAAACAAACATGGCTAAACCAATACACTTTTCGAAATCACCAAAATAAAGCCATGAAAGTAATGAAACAGTGATCATAGGAACTGTGACAGAATTTTCACAATAAATGGCATAAACAACCAAAACCCTGCAGCCATAGCTGGCTGCATGAGTCACTCCACAACAGCAGGAGCATTAATCAGAGTATTATAATTTTTCAATGCACCTTTAAGATCAGCACACTAAATCAAAACACAGGTCATACTTTGTAGCAATCATCCAGAGCTAAACATTTTATTTTAGGCCACAGAGGGATAGAAGGGGTTCCCTGAGAGGGACCTGGGTCGCTGCATTCTACAGGGTGGAAGCCCAACATCTACAAGCAGGAAGCTCTACATCTCAAGCTGAAGCTCTCTGTCCCAGGCAACCACGTGGTCGGAAGACCCGAGTGAGGGATCTACCCTTCGTAGCAGTAATTCACTGTTGTCTGGTAAAGGGGCAGTTACCCCTTTGTATTACAGTGTTACAAATAAAAGTGTTTCCTCTAAAAGGAACAACGTCCGCGACTCAGTTGGACACACTACAACTGGTGTCGGAAGTGGCCAACACGCTAGTTACTCAACTAAGCTGTAGACTATGTCTACATGTCGCGGACCAAGTACCTGGACGTCAGTCGATGAGGACGAGGACTTCGTGCAGCTTGCAGGAGGATGCGGGCAAGACGCTATCAGCAGAGCCGTCTGGGCGCTCGATGCTTCGCCGTCGGCGTTGGTGACCCTCCAGGAGGCGCACGAGTGTCTCGCGGAGCTCCTCAACACGGCGACTTCGCTCTTGGCGGAGTTGACCCTTGCGGTCTCGCCGGGGACGGAAGGAGCATCAAGACCGCTCGTGAATGGCGACTCTGCCGCTATTTCACGACAGGCGGGTAATTCGGTGGCGCAACCCGCGCGATCGGCCGCCATTTTACCCTTGTAGCATTTCTTGCCATGCCACCGCTGGAAAGATCTACCCTTACGCAGGCCTTCGATCAAATGGCATCCATCTACGGGCCTCCGGCAGACGCGCGCCACAAAGTCGCCAAGTGCGTCCGAGCCTAGCAATTTTTGCATTGGGACGGGGCGCTGGCGACTTGTGCTGTGTCGCGCATGGAGCCGAGGCCACCGCATACTGTGGGGCCCCTTATGGAAGGCACGTCGACTCGGAAAGGTGGCGACCAGGGTGATGGTGGGACATGGCGGACGGACAAGCGGGGGCGGTCGAGGTCGTCTTCTCGTTCCAGAGGCGGCCGTGTTACCTGCTACCAGTGCGGCCTGTTGGGCGACGTGGCTTTGGGCTGCCGCGTCCCATGTCGGCGCCTTCCGGCATCACAACCATCCTGCTCTCCTCCACGATCTGAGGTGAGTCGTGACGCACTCCACACTCGACCCCGGGCCTCACTTCACTCATCTAGGCAATTTGGTTCGCGGCCCGATCGTGCGTCAGTAGGGGAAAGTCCTACGTGTAATCGTGAGGTGCGTCAGCTCCGACCGGGTCAGTGGTCGGAGCTGGCCCATCGAGTTGTGGCTGCCACCGAGGGTTCGTCTACGGTGCTTGGGTCTATCGAGGATGTGGAGATAAGGATGCTGATCGACACGGGTGCATCGGCAATTATCATTACAGTCCAGATTTTTTACATTCTGCCCCCTAAGTGTCGGGTTCTCGATCTTGTCGATGCACCGTGTGTTGCTGCTGACGGCGGCTCGTTGGGTATCATCGGTCTGATCATGGACGGGGTACACATTGCCGATGTTAGCTTGTCGGGACACATTTTTGTTTCCACCTCCCTGACTGTTCAATGTTTACTTGGAACTGATTTCCTTGGCAGGATGCCATTGGAAATCTTCATTGACCCCGGCTGTTTGGAATTGCCATCCGGATGCCGTGTGGCATTTTTGCCTTCCCTACCCAGTTGTGTGCGGCTAACGCTACGTTGCGTATGTCTGCGTGCCGAACGGGGGAGATCCCGCCCGGCACACGAACGTCTGTTACCCTCCGTTTGAGGGAGCCGTTCGGTTTGGGCACTGCGAGGTACCGAGGTATAGCTCGGACATTGGTGTCCGACGACCAGGAACCCAAGTTAAAAATGCTGGGTTGGACACCACGGTCATTCAGGAAAGTACGGGGTTGGCTCATGCGGCTCCGGCACTTCCGGTAGGGGGCGTTGTCGGGAATGCGAGTGCGGAGCCTTGCACGCGACAATCCCGGGATGTGGTTAGTTGCTATGCTGTCCGCCCCTCTCGCCTTGAAATGATCATCTTGCCGCGCAAATTCATCTCATCTCCATATCGCTGGGGCTGAGTGTCGAGTGCGTCCGGCGACCCGCAGCGAGTGGCCACTGTGGTTGCTCTCGGGCGGAGCGATTCTGTCCCGTCCCCAGCCGCGGTACACCTGGCGTCCCCTGAAAGGTTGCGCATGCCAGTTTCGCGGGCTTCGAGGGGGGTGAACCCTCCGGCCTGGCCTGCTGCTCTTCGTGACGAGCCGGGTCTAGCGAAACATTGACACATTCCCTGCGAGTCCCCCAGTGGTGCGTGCCTGCCTCCCCTGTGGGGGGGGGGGGGGCCCGGGGCAAGGTTGCCCCGGGCCGTGGCACTCTGGTTGATCTTATAGACACGTGATCCGGAATGTGTCCGGAGAGAACTCTTGAGAAGGATCGAGAGGGAACAAGAATATTCAGGAAGGCGGGCGGGGCCGAGGACGGAGCGGCCCCGACCGGAGAGGGATATAAGGCGGGTATCTGAGAGGGACTGGAGTCGCTGCATTCTACAGGCTGGAAGCTCAATATCTACAAGTGGGAAGCTCTACATCTCAAGCTGAAACTCTCCATCCCACGAGGCAGCCACGTGGTCGGAAGACCCGAGTGAGGGATCGACCCTTTATAGCAGTAACTTGCTGTCGTCTGGTAAAGGGGCAGTTACCCCTTTGTGTTACGGTGTTACGGTTTTACAAATAAAAGTGTTGCCTCTAAAAGGAACAACGTCTGCGACTCAGTTGGACCCACTACAAAAGCATTAACATCTACAGTGTGGTATAAGGGCATTCATACCCACATCGTGTTATAGCAAAATTAGCCCCTCCACTGGAATGAGAGCATTAGTCCCTACACTTTAGCATTAGCTGCCACGATCTGTAAGGGAGCCTCCCTTTCGGGTTATTTTAAAAGTAATATTGAAAACATTTTTAAATATCGTACAGTGTTCACTTTTATTACAAGTATATTTTCTGATGTATTTCCCATTCTCAATATTTTTATGCTGACTGATTGCTATTATTCTTTCTCATGTAATTCTATAGAATCGTTTTTGTTAATACATTGTTTATGCTCAGCGCTTTGACTTGATCCTTTTGTCAAAGGCACTGTACACAATAGAAACTCATAAATGTCATGACATTAAATAAAGTCAACCGAATAAAAAAAAAAGATAGATATATTTTTACAAAATGAGTTGCTTCTTTTCAATTATCCCTCTATCGATGTGAAAAACTCTTAATATGTATTATCTCTTTGGATTAATCTTCTTTAAACTAGACAAGAGCATCTATAGATTTATGTCATGGAATGTATGTATTTTAACCCTTTGCCATTGCGATAATGTACATGTACACTGATGATGTACATGTACATCATCAATTTTCTTCCGATTCCGTTCCATACGTGTACGTCATTGGAACGTGTACATCATCACTCCGGAAACTGGAAGAAAAACTGTTAAAATTACTTTATAAATACCGAGGCTCCCACAAGGCCATGTGGGAGGGCATGTGGCACAGTTTGGCGCCAGCTATCATAGAGTGCTGTTGTGTTGCTACAGTTCTCTGGGTTCAGCACGGCATCTTTAAAAACGGCGCTATACCTTTAAATAAAATGAACGTTAACTACTTGCACGTTCTGAGATTCAGTGGTGAACGCGACCCACCCAGACGTTTGGAACAGAATAGGGTTAATGAGGTAATATAGCGCATTAAATATCGCTCCATCTTGTGTCTGACATGCTTTATTTAACCATTTGAGAGAAACTTGAGATTCAATATATATTCAAATATGTCCTCTAATTAGTGAGATTCCATTGAAAGTAATATTTTTATACAGGCGCCCTTTGTGTAATGAAGAAAGCTAATTGACATTCACATTCTATGTTCTATGGCTTTTATGCAACACTGCAAATTTTACTCAGTCGCATTATCTATTTATATTGAAAACCTTTATGCCTCATGAGTTTATCAGACCTACTGTTTAATGTTGATGTACATTTTCTGTTTCTTATTATTTATCCTATAAATGTTTTTGGCAAGGTTTTATAAGGATGTTACAGGTTGTGTCCATGTGTAGAAAATACAATTGGTGTTTGAATGGTATTGAGTAATGCATATATTATTATTGTGAATACATCTTACTCATTTGTTTTAGGTTCACATTTACCATCTGGTGGAGAACACAGAAGTGTGAAGCGAGTGTTGATACATGACAAATATAATGAACGGGCTATGCAACGAGAATTACCAGGATCTGAGTTTTATGATTATGATATAGCCATCTTGGAACTTCATCATCATTTGACATTTGGAGATACAAAACAGTGAGTAAAACAATAACATGTCATTGGCGTAAAGACACATTAAATAAATAAATAAAATTGCCCACAATAAAGGCTCACTGAGACAAAGCGGCCACTACATCTGACCCCATTCTGAGAAAAACAAAGATGCTCTGAAGTTTTGATGGACTTCCCACCATAATTTACCAGAATTCAGGTTAAAACTCACAAAATGAATGTGTTGGACTGGGTCAGCATATCCACTCTACACTTTTCTGCTATTGGCGGGATGGATGTTGTTTAAATAATTAGTTTCTACCCTAATGCCACCAAATCTTCACCAAGTGGTGCACGATCTGGGCATTTTTATTTCATATGAAGGAATGCAAGGGTGTGCAGGACTTTGTGTCAGAGTCAACAACCAGAAGCAAAGACAACAGAAAAGTAAAGAAGCAAACGAAACTCCCTCCCCTCCCCATGAGCAATGGGGCAGTTGTGGAGAGAGTGGAGAAGTGTGCTTATGACCAGCCCCGGTTTGGCAGCCGAAGTCTTACTCCGAATCAGCTGAGTGGCATATTTTCATCAGCTGCGCAATGTTGCGTGTGAGCTACCTGGTCTATCACTCTAGACGAAGCTGCAGGTCTTCTCGGCCACTGTTATGCCCTCCCTTCTCTGTGCCTATAGAACGTGCATCCCTCTGAAGGGAAATCTGCACCAGTTTGAAACATTCAGGCGAGACTGCCCACAATCCATCCTGGATTTAGCCAGACTGGATTGTGTAAGGAGCTCACATATTCTGTAGACAGATTTCCATCAGCGAGTTCTTCTGGAAAACGAGCCAGCGTTGGATGGATCATGTAGCATGCCCAACCTTTGCATGCCGAATCAGCATCTGTTTGGCCAGATGGATGGGGCTGAATGGATGCTGCATGGGCTAGAGAAGAAATGCACTGATGTGCTACGGAAGGATATGGAGCTAATTTAATTGCTGATGACTGGTACCAATGGTGTCGAGATTGGACTCTGTGGAGAGAGTTGTGAAGGACGCTACTGGGCAGTTTGAAGGCAGACACCCTCCAGCAACAAGGGGGAGCGGAGGAGCAATGCTCAGAACGAGCAGAGCACTGGGCGATTAAAACAGAGCAAGTTTGCACAGTGGGGAGCACAGTAAGTGCATATGCCAGTTATCTCGGTCAGTCAACCCATGGCACCTAGGTGTGTTCCGTGACCTGCCGGCTAGCCTTTAACACTCATAAGTGCACCTAGCACTGCACATATGCCATGGTGACGTTAGCACCACTTAATGGCAAATGTATATGCCTATGTGTGTGGGGAATGGTAGCATATGTTTAGCTCACTGCACTATTTACCCTGTAACCAATTTCATTCCTCGTCATGGCCAACATCAGTGACACATATCTGAAACGGTCCTGTGCTTCCTTTATGTCGACCCAGGCCTAAATGAGTACCGGTTCAATGTTTAAAGATCACCATCCCCCAGTCCAAGTTATGGAACCAGGGCAATGAGTTTGCGTTTAGTGGACAGCTAACAGGGTGAAGTATGGTGGTGTCTCACCTCTGGGCCGCTATGGTTGTTGTGCAGGCCTGTTAGGAACCCTGATGACACCTAGCTGACAGGGCTCTGGCACAAGTCCGACAACGGCAGAATATGTGGAAGTGGATACCTGTATCCTCAATGGCTGTGGACATTGGGCAATAGTGGTGTCTCTAGCATCTCAGGCGGAATAAACTTCTCTTTGGGTCAACAAATGGTTATCTTTTACTGCGCTCTGAATGGTGCAGAGTATTTTTGGTAACCCAAACATGCAAAATTACGAGCAGGCAATTCTAGGATGACTTGCATAGCTGAAAGCCCCTGCTGCGGAAGGTTATGCCATGAGTTGCCAACAAGGACACCAAATAATGTCAAGCCAGACCTGCTCACCATGTATGTTGAACTTTGCACTGTACGTAGCCAGCCATGGTAATTGGAGGTGCGGAGAAAGGACAACAAACTAAACACAAAAAGCAGTTCTAAAGAGATGAGTTTTCAATCATGATTTAAAAGTGCATAGCTCCAGTGGATGCCTAATATTGGAAGCAGCAGCATTCCTGATGGCTGCAGAACTGCATCTGAAAAAACACAATTCAGTGGCTATCTCTGTTCAGTGGCCAGCCAAAAGCCCCTGCGAGGATAACCATAGTGTACATGATGGTTTATGCTCCTTGAGATCAGCAAGGTATTGTGGTTTTTTTGTGGCAAGCACTTTGTATGGAATGAGTACGACCTCAATATAATTGTTTGGCAACCGAAAGCCAATGCAGTTCGGCGAGCACTGGACGGACATGGTCGGATCTTGCAGTACCTGTCAGGACACATGCCAGATAATGTTATACATGCTGCAGCTTGGTAATATTATTTTCCAAGACGTCCATAGAGTAGTGAGTTGCAATAATTGAGCATTGTCGATACTACACTACATGCAACCGTATTGGCTATGGCACGACTTAATAGTGGTCGAATGTTCTGTCCAGGACTGATATGAAAATTGCAGGATATGACTGTATTTTGCACTTGGTGATCAAACAACATATTCTGGTCGGGTATGGTGTCAAGGTTATTTATATGAGTAGAAAACTGAATCCTGGAGTCTGTTACTGCCAAACCTGATCCTCCCACAAGTGTTTTTGCCTGAGCCTGAGGGTCAGGCAGGATTTCATTTTGTGAAAACCACATGTGCACCGCTCGTGTGCAATCTTTAAGGTTACCAAGGATCTCTATATCTAACTTTGATTTCACTGCGGTGTACAATTATGTATCATCAGCATATTGATGGAACTTGATGTCATGCGATGAGATAACTTCGGCGATCGGAGAGATATATGTTGAAAGTAGGAAGGACCCAAGGACGGACCCCAATGCCTTGCCAACTAGGCACAGGAAAGGCGATGACTGTTCGCCACCCAGCTTGATGAACTTTGATCGACCATGTAGGTATGACTCAATCTACCCTAGTGCCATGCTCAATACACCGAACCATGGCCTTAGCCACCCGATGAGTATCTCATGGTTGACGGTGTCGAAAACAGCTGAGAGATCGAGGCCAACCAACACTGGGGTGCACCAGTCATCCATGATCTTGTAGATGTCATCAGTGAGTTTTAGTACAGCGGCCTCAGTGCTGTGGAACTCCCGGTATACCAACTACAAAGGGTTGAATCTGCCTGTCGCAGTGATGTGGGAAATTAACTGCTTATGCCACAGGTGCTCTATGACCTTTGAAATTGTACTCAGGTTTAAAATTGGACAATAGTTTTTAGGGTCACGATGGCTCAAGCCAACTTTTTTCAGGAGTTGTGTTACCTGCACCATTTTAAACCAGTCTGAGAAACAGCCCTCGTCGATCAAAAGATTTGCCATGTGGAGAATCATCAGTGCAAACACGCCCGAGTATGATTTGAGAATCTACGTGTGGATGTAGTCAAATGGCAATCTCTTATTTTGCAGCGATGCGATGAAGATCTACATTTCTGCCACCGATGTTGGTGCCAGGGTCTTTAGTTTTGCATTGGTTCCAGGTTGATCAAACCCTGATGCAGACCGGGATACTAAGTTGCCTTCAAATTAGAAACTGCCTTCAAGTTAGAAACTGCCATGCTGATCATCACTATTTTATTGGTGAAGAACGTTGCAAGTGCTGTGCAACGACCTTGTGAACTAGTTGATGGCTGGTTGGAGTGCAGCAGACCCTTCACAACGTACCAGAGAGCACGGAGGTGCAGAGCATAGAACAATGTACAGTATAATGAGTCCAACTGAGTCGCAGACGTTATCTTGGGAGCAACACTATTTATTATGTAACTTTAACACAACATCACAGAATCTACACTCGGGCCTCAAATGCCCATCTAACCACGCTACAGCAGAACTAGACACGGTTCACTATCCCGGCCCGGACCACAAGCTGGTTCCCGGACCGTGTGGCTAGAGGCTTCTCCCGACGTGGATCTTCTTCACACCAACACACGAAGAACCCCGAGCTCCTCACAGGCCCCCATTATATTCCCCTGGGCTGGGGCTGGCTCCACCCTTCGCCCTGCCCACCTTCCAGATCTCTCGAGCTCTTTCTCGAAGACTCCTGAGAGCTCTTTTAGACCACGTGACCGCCCAGCGGCCCCGTCCACCAGTGGCCCCCCTCCAATATCATCCAGTCACGTGTCAGCAGGTCAACTAGCGTATCATGCCCCAACGTAACCCTGGCTGGCTGACGCTCCCTCTCGCTCCCTCACCGGGAGCCCGCAACGCACACCGTACGTGGTGCCTCCGCGCTGACCAGCGCTCACCCAAGCCCTGCTAGGGCTGGTATGACGCCCTGTAAGCGGGCTATACATAATGTCATCACATTATCCACCATGGCTTCGTAAGCCCGGCACCACACAGTGACAATCACAGTCACTACATCACCCCCCCCCCCCTCCGTAGTTTCCAGCCGTCCCGGCTGCCAACTCCACCTCCAAGTAAGCAACCGACATATAATCATACAGAACATAACCACAAGTGCGCTCAAACAAACATAACAACGTAATAAATTACACGCAGGAAAAAAAAAACGAACCAATAATCGCGCCATACGAGATCCCTACAATCAACATCTCCCACCCACAACGTGTAACAATGCCCGTGAGCTCGGTGGCGAGCAGAATCAGCCAAATACCCGCCACGACGCACGCGAGCGCGACAGCCCATGACGGTGTGGGAGTGTGCAATGCGCGGGGATCACGCGAATTGAGTCTTTGAACGAGTCCGTGACGCCGGTCCTCCAGACAGGTTGGGGGCGAGTGTCCTGGGAGGGCCGGGGGGAACAAGAAATTTTCCCGACGAAGCCTGATACTCATGAAGAGCAGTAGGCCAGGTCATCGGGTCCTCGGCGCTCCGAGCACGTGAGGCTGACACGAGCGGCCGCGTGCGAGGCATCAGTCGCAGAACTGAAACACTCTCCTGAGGACCTACGTCGGCAGACGCACGCCCCAGGTCGTCAGGC